TCACACCATCTTCACGGTAGTCCAATAGAGCAACCATGCCATCTGGATTCATGTTTTCACCAATAAAGAACTGGTAGTTTTTGAAATTAGCAAGGATGTGCTTGATTTGTTCTGCAGCCCCTGTCATAAAAGGTTTTACTCTTTCTGGTCTCTGTTCTTCAAGTTTGCCTTTGATTGATTTCATGTAATCTTTGATGTATTTCTTGTAGGCTTCTTTTGTGAAACTTGTTTCCTGCAGGTGATGGTTCATGACAATATAGACACCAGTGATTACTGTGCTTTCGGTACCTTCGCCCTCGGGGCCTTCTGCGGAGGCATTTCCACCAATGAGCAAGTCATCAATGTTACCTTCTGTCCTACTGACCATCTTCCCCTCCACCTCCAGGCACAGCCCGTCCGCGATCTCCCGGATCTTGTAGATGTCAGAGAACATCTCATCATGGCTGATGAGATCCCGGTAGATAATCATGATGGTGGCTGACGGGAGAGGACGGCGGCGCTAGCTTAGCAGGAGCCCGAAGCTCGGAGCGAGCGCTGTGCAGCCGGAGCGGCGCTAGCGGGGAGGGGGGAGCGGGCGGAAAAGCTGGTCTCGAACTCTTGACCTCAAGTGATCCACCCACCTCATCCTCCCAAAGTGCTGGGATTATAGGCATTGAGCCACTGCACTGGGTCCAGAAGGATCTTTGACACAGATACAAAGGATGATGGGCTAGAGAAAGCAAGAGTGGAGGCTTAGAACTGCTTAGAGAGCTTTTCAAATAATTCAGGTGAAGGCTACTGAGGAGTTGATTATAGGCAGCAGCAGGGCACAGCTGTTTTCTCTATTTCTAGTTAGGACTTTGGCCCATCCTTCCAGAATTCCAGTGGCAGTGCTTTCAGGGTTCAGGTGAATGAAGGCACTTGTAAACGTCCTGATGGAGTTTGAGGCCAGCCTGGGCAACATAGTGACACCCTGTCTCAATTTATATTAAAATGTAAATTAATTAGAAAAATAAAAAAATAAAGGTCCTGAGGACCAGGCAAAATGCCTCAGATAAAGAAACCATCATGAACAGGCACCAGGTGGTTCATTCATTCATACATTTATTCGTTGCTAATTCAGCCATAGGTTTAAAGAACATCTTTTTTATTAGGAAGATGAGCCTTGAAGGTGAATACTCAGGGGCCTGAACACTTAAGGAGGGGAAGGGGATGCTATGTGCTTTCACTTCAAGGCAGCGGGCAGAATGGTACACTCAGAGTGTGCAGGTCAGCGCGGCATGGTGGCACCTGTAGTCCCAGCTACTCCAGAGGCTATGGTAGTGGGATCGCTTGAGCCCAGAATGTCGAGGCTGCAGTGAGTAAGCTATGACCTGGTTTCTTAAAGAAAAGCTGGGAGTTTATATTTTAGGGATAGGGTAACAAACGAACAACTTCCAAAATGCACAAGATGTATGGGGAACAATTAGTTTGACTTGAATTTGTGTAGGGGGAAGATCAGAGGCTGTTGCAGAAGTAAAGCTAGTTGGTGAAGATATCCGGCTCGTAAAAAGGCAGTAGGAGCCCTTTAGAAATTCCTGGGATTCTGTTTCTTTGATTCGGGGTTAGGAAGACAAGGAAGTAGCAAGTGCCGTCCCTCCCTTCCTTCCACTTTTTTTTTTTTTTTTTTAATAGTTAAGGAAACTGAGGCTAGGGGCTGGGAGGCAATGTCATCTGCTCCAGGCCACACAGTGTAAGATCAGGCATGCATGTTTGCCAAGGTTTGAGTTCAAAGTCCGTGCCCCCCTTGGTACAGAGGCAGAATGGCGCGGTGCCCCCGGGTCCCAAGAGAGAAGGGCGCCAAGCTCAGAGTCAGTTCTGTGGAACGGTCGGGAAGGCCTGACCCCGGGGGCGATCCAGTGGCGGGATAATCTTAGACACCTTCAGGAGAACCAGCCCAGGCTGACAGGCTGCGAAGACGGCCCCGCCTGCTCCAGAGAGCCGTACTACTGGGATGCAATGCAGGCTAGTTGGCGCCGCCGTTGGCCCACCCCCTGCCAGTGGTTCGCTCCGAACACCCCTTGCCGGGCGGCGGGTGCTGCGGTCCGCCCCACTTCCGGTTGTTGCCGGGCCCTATATCCGGTGTCCGCCCGCCCTCGGCTCCGCAGCCGCGATGCTGTCCCGGTCCCGCTGTGTGTCCCGGGCATTTAGCCGCTCGCTCTCCGCCTTCCAGAAGGTACGATCTGGCCTAGCCGGGGCCCCAACGGATGAGGAGCCTGCTGGCGGGCGGACAGGCGACCTGGAAGGCAGGGGCGCGGCGCGCCGGCCAGCCCGGGCACCAAGGGCACCGGGACGCGGAGGCCGCGCGGGCTGGGCGGCCCGGGGCTGTGGTTGCCCTCGGGACCGTCTTGCGGAGCCCGGCAGCCCCCTGCCTTCTCCAGACAGCCCGCGGAGAACGTTTCCTGCCGTACCCCACCCTCTGCGCGGGAGCTGGGGAGCCGCGCCCGTCCACATACTTGACTCAGAGTTGGGGAGGAGGCGCGGCGGAGTCCTCCTGCGGGATTCGGCGCCCGTCTCCTCTTGCTCTGTTAAAATTTGTGGGTATTAGTGAGTCCCATGGGGAAGTTGAGATAGTTTGGCAGGCCCAGCGTGTTGATTGGGTTTGCCAGCCCGGTGTGTTACATTTACCTTTGGAGTTACGAGATTCACCTGTCACCAGCACTGGGACAGCTTTGAGCGTATACTTAAAAGAATTCCTGTTTCTTTTTTTTTCGTCTTGGGTGACGTCGATAATGTCTTCTTTCTCAACAGGGGAACTGCCCTCTAGGGAGACGTTCCCTGCCCGGTAAGTTCTGCCCTTGCCGTCACCTAAAATGCTTTCCTCCTGGGCAGAGCAGTATGTGAGGAACTCGGGGGTGCCTGTGTTTCTCATAATATTTAAAGGCAGTTCGATTTAGAGAGTAGTGAGACACAATTCTACATAATCATGAGCTATCATTTATTCATTCGGCTTGTAGTTTTTGAGTTTCTACTGTCAGGCCCTGCGCTAGGGATACAGCAGTGAATACGGCAGTGTACAATTCTTGCTCTCGTGGAGCTCCCAGGCTAGCTGGAAAGTGTCAGTTGCTAAACAAGTGAACAGTGACAAAGTTTTGTAAATGCTGAGAAGGAAACATACGAGGGTGGACAGACGAGCCCTCTTTGAGGAAGTGACATAAAAGTATGGCCAGGCGCGGTGGCCCAGGCCTGTAATCCCAGCGCTTTGGGAGGCCTAGGCGCGCGCAGATCATTCATTCTGGGCAGGAGTTCGAGACCAGCCTAGCCAGCATGGTGAAACCCCGTCTCTACTAAAAATACAAAATTTAGCCGGGCATGGTGGCGTGCGCCTGTTATCCCAGCTACTTGGGAGGCTGAGGCAGGAGAATTGCTTGAACCCGGAGGCGGAGGTTGCAGTGAGCCTAGATTCTGACACTGCACTCCAGTCTGGCCGGCAGAGCAAGACTCCGTCTCAAAACAAAACAAAAAAAAAACCACTATGGCCAGCAGAATGTGACGGAGCTAACCCAGTGAAGCCCAGGAAAAAGAGAATGGCATGCACAAAGATCTTCAGGAAGAAAAGAGGTTGGCAGAATTTAAGAACTGGAAAAAAGGTGATTTGACCAGAGTATTTTAGCTAAGGGAGAGTGGCATGAGATAGAAGATGGTGTAGAAACTGTTTGAAGGAGTTTAGATTTTATCCCAATAGTTTTTGGAAAAAAAAAAAAAATTAACAGTGGTCATTCATAGCTTATTTTCTGCTATGTGCCTATCATAAATATTTGTTGAATGAGTTGATCTTGTGGACTTTCTTTATACCAAACATTTATGAGTGCTTTCTGTGAACTTTTTAGTTAATCACAAAATAGTAAGAAGTGTTCTATTTTGCAAATGCATAACCCAAGACAAGAAAGATTTAAAGCCTTGGCCAAGGTCACCCACCCAGCTGTTGATCAAGCCAGGTCTACCTGACCCCGCCTGAACTCTTAGCCCGCCATGTTCTCATTTACTCATGGACTCAACTGATCATTTATTAAGTGCTTACTATATGCCAGCCACTGTGCTAGGTGACAGGGATACAGATGGTCTCTAGCCTCGAGATTTTATGGGCCAGCAGAGAGAGAGCAAATATACATTTATGCTCAGACAAGGGTGTAATTAAATTGTGGTTACTTCGAGAGAGGAGTAAAGGATGTTGAGAGGGTGGCATGATGTAGCCCAGCTGGGGAAGGTTGAGAATGTCAGTAAAGGCTTCCTTGAAGAAGTGACATTTAACTGAGGCTTGAATATAAAAGAGTTAGCCAAAAAAAATGATATTCCAGGCAAAGGGAATTGTTTATGCAAAGGTTTTCAGACAGGAAAGGACTTGACCAGTGATAGACATGGGAAGAAGCCTGTCTGGCTGGAAGGATAGAGTGGGCTGGATGGTACAGGATCGTATAAATTGTGTGGACTTTATTCTAAGAGTTATGAGGACATAAGGCACCTAGCACAATGTCAGCTAGTAGTGGACTCTCGATAACATGTTTTTCAAGTGGAAATTCTGAACAATGCCAACAAACATTTTCTCCACTTTATGGGTGGGCAGGGCAGTGGAAAGAGCCCTACACTTGGGATTTGCATTTTGGCTTTGGCTAGTCACTTAACCTCCAGAAGCCCTACTTATATGAAATGGGAATAATGGCAGATGGTCATTCCACCTCAGAGTTCTGAGACTGAAAGTCAAAATGAGGTCATTATGTGAAAGCTTTTTATAAACCCTAAAGTGCTGTATCGGTGAAACTTGCTGTAGGATGAACTCTGAATTGGACTCCAGGTTCCAAAAATCAGTGTGGACTGCCAGCTGTTCTAGTTGAAAAACATACTGTGCTTGAATTTTGCACTGCATAGTCATTGGCTGCTTGACATAGAGGTGATTGGCTTACCTGTCTTGGGATGTTTGTGAGAAGGCGGGCATAAGAGAGCTGGCTCTCAGAGTCTCTTGAGCCCATGGTTCAGAAAGAGTTGTTAATCTGGAAAAAAAAAAAAAAAAAAAAAAAAAAAAAAAAAAAAAAAAAAAAAAAGACATAAAGAATATATTAGGAAGAGGCAGCTGTAGTTACTAGTCAACAGTTGGGGAAATGCACTTAACTGTGATAAGGACAGCTGGTAGGCAGAAAGGGGCTCTCACCTTGTTGAGAGTGACCAGGGTGGAAGACTTCAGAAAGGCATGGGAAGTCAGTAATTGAAAGGTGGGCACGTGATTTTCTCAGCCCTAGGACATGCTGGAGACCCTGATCCTAAAGTAGCCAAGTCTTTGCTACTAGGGTTCAGGTGATAAGATTTTCAGCCCAATCTTCTCAAACCCAGACCAAATATCCTCCTTGCTTCTCAAATTGGGTTATGTATAGCCATCCATATCTTTTTTTTTTTTTTTTTTTTGAGACAGTTGCCCAGGCTGGAGTGCGGTGGTGTGATCTCGGCTTACTGCAACCTCCGCCTCCCGGGTTCAAACTATTCTCCTGCCTCAGCCTCCTGAGTAGCTGGGACTATAGGTGCGCGCCACCACACCCAGCTAATTTTTGTATTTTTCGTAGAGACAGGATTTCACTGAGTTGGCCGGGATGGTCTTGATATCTTGACCTTGTGGTCCACCTGCCTCACCTCCCAAAGTGCTGGGATTATAGGCATGAGCCACCACACCCGGCCATCATCCCATATCTTTCTTAAGCTTCAATTGTATTTGAAGACTTGGTGAGTAGAGATATTTTATTATGAAAACATAAAGGAATAATGAAAAGTTCTGACTTTTTAAGGTAAATGAGATTATGTAATCACTTTGGGCTGTGCCATCAGATTTTTTCTCTTTCCTTTCCCAAACACATACCCACTTTTTTGTTTTTTTTTTTTAAAGACGGGGTTTCACCATGTTGGTCAGGCTGCTGGTCTTGAGCTCCCGACCTCAGGTGATCCACCTGCCTTGGCTTCCAGAGTGCTTGGATTACAGGCGTGAGCCACCACGCCTGGCCCACATACCCACTCTTAACCTCAAATACCCAGTGCTGTCTGCCATTAAGGCTACTTCGGAAAAGTTTGAGAAACAAGACATTATGATAAAGATTACATCCGTTGCCTGTAGTTGATTCTGTTCTGTCTCAGGGTTGGGGGTGAGCAGACCTACATTCCCAGAATGTGTCCTTTGTGAGATAAGAGTTGTTGGTTAAGAGTTATTTTGTTTCTTGCAGGGGTCTCCTTATGCCAGGGACCAGGTTACCCTAACAGCAGGAAGGTTGTGTAAGTATTACGGGGGCGTATATTTTTAAAACATCAGTTCTAAATTTGACCATCTGATTTCCTCACTGGTCTCCAGACCTAGCAATTGAAGTGGTTTGTTGAGTCCTTAGACTAACTTTGATGTTCATTTTTCCCATATAATGTTCCTTGAGCATCAACCCCATGTCAGGTGTTGAACTGGGAGTGTGCTTGCTCTCCACAGGTGTTTAGATTATAATGAAAGTTAGGTTGGAACCCTCTTTTTTATGGGATAGGTATAGAAGGGTGCTCTTAGATATTCTAGTTAGATATAAGTGCAGCTGAAGTGCTCAAGGTTACATTTATTGTAGAGATTGAGCCATCCTCTCAGCATAGTTACTCATTTTAAAAAGAATAAAAGTATAAAACTGGTTGATCCCTGGGACTGACTAGTTTGGAGGGAATGCTGTTATTGCATAATGCAGAGTTTGGAGAAAGGCCACCCATGTGTGTTTCAGATTAACTTTTGCTTATTAACGTTGCTTAAATGCTGCTTTGCATTCCAAGTGTTTTTGTGGTGGTGCTAAGAGAATGCTCTCTAGTAACCTCCTGTTCAACAGCTGTCAGGCTGCTTTGTCTACGGGGAGAATCCTCAAAGTGAAGGGATCAGCAGATAAACTTCTTCCTTACTGTGCATCACAATGAGGATTTTTGTTGTTGTTTTGAGATAGGATCTTGCTGTGTCCTGGCTGGAGTGCAGTAGCATGATCTTGCTTGCTGCATCCTCAGCCTCCTGGGCTCAACTGATCCTTTCATCTCAGCCTCCTGGGTAACTGGGACTACAGGCACATGCCACCATGCCCAGCTAATTTTTATATTTTTTGTAGAGATGGGGTGTTTTGCCATGGTGCCAGGGCTGGTTTCAAACTCCTGGGCTCAGGTAATCCACCCACCTGCCTTAGCTTCCCAAAGTAGGGGATACAAGCGTGAGCTACGTTGCCTGGCTGTTTTTTTTTAAATTGAGAAAATGTTGCACTCAGTACTAGGAATATGAATTCCTATGTTATTTTGGAGGGCAATTTAGTGGTCATAAGTCTTTGAATTGTGTGTGCCTTTTGGTCTAGAAATTCCATTTCTAGGAATCTATATTGAAGAACTCCTGGTATAATAAGATTTCTCTCAAAATGACAAAGAGCAAGGGATTGGTTAAACTGTGGTGTGCTTCACAGGTTCACACTCTGAAAAGTAGGAAAAAGCAGGTTACAAAATGATTTCATTTTCTACTGTATGGTACAATCCCATTGTAACTGTTTTTTTTTTTTTTTTTTTTTTTTTTTTTTTTTTTTTTTGCTTTTTTTTTTTTTTTTTTTTTTTTTTTTTTTTTTTTTTTTTTTTTGCTATTTCTAATCTGCAGTGAGCATCTAGTTATTTAGAGATTCAAAGTGTATTACTCATCTGCAATCCAATGAAAATTGGAGCAATCATGAATCTCTACAATAAATACATTAAATATTTGAAAGTAAATAAGAAAAAAAGTAAACTTTATTTCTTTATGGGATCACCCATAATCATGTCACCCTAATCCAGTATTTTCTGTGTGTTGTGCCTTTTCTGTGAATAAGGTACCCACTTTATTTAAGAAATATTTTATTGTAAAACAATTTTTGGTTTTATGTTTTCACTTAATGTGTGTTATGTTTACATGTTTTAAAATTCAAGGCCGGGCGTGGTGGCTCACGCCTGTAATCCCAGCACTTTGGGAGGCCAAGGTGGGTGGATCACGAGGTCAAGAGATCGAGAGGATCCTGGTCAACATGGTGAAACCCTGTCTCTACTGAAAATACAAAAATTAGCTGGGCATGGTGGCGCGCGCCTGTAGTCCCAGCTACTCGGGAGGCTGAGGCAGGAGAATTGCTTGAACCCAGGAGGCGGAGGTTGCGGTGAGCCGAGATCGTGCCACTGCACTCCAGCATGGGTAACAAGAGCGAAACTCCGTCTCAAAAAATATATAAAAATAAAAATTCAAAAAGTAAAAAGGATATCCATGAGAAGACTTTTATCCCTGTCCTCTAGCCCTGCAAATGCTTCTTCACAGTGGTGGCCACCACTCAGTGTTCCTGGATGACTAGAGAGCAGCCTCTGCATGCGTGTTACCTGTTAGCTCTTGCCTATGGGCATGTACTTTTACATGGTTACAAACTATATGTAGAACATTTTGTATTCTGTAGTTTTTAAATATCTTCATTTTTTTCTTGGTTATGCATAGACCTTATAGTTACCAACTTAAACCTATTTTACTTTTCTGTTGTAAATGTGCTTGTTGTAGAATATTCAAACAATCCTGAAGCGCAGAAAGTAAAAGTCCCCATCCAAATCATTCTCCCAAATTGTGCAAGTGTGCAACATATAACCATAGATACCATATATGTCTACATCTCTCACCCTCAGAGGTAACCGCTGTTAATGGCTTTGTGCATATAGGGTGATCTCATTCTCCAGTTATATCAACTGGACAATTATATATATAAACAATTATATTATTACCGTAAAGGCCATATCAGAAACCACCTTGGTCTTTGAGGTTCCTTTTGAGTGAGTCCAGAATATATTGATGTGCTGCCTTCTAGCAAGAGAACAGAGTAGGAGATACCAGATGGGGTTTGTGTGTGGTTTTTTTGTTTGTTTTTGGGTATGTGTGTTTTTTGGCATAACACCTTGTTTTACTTCCAAGTTAACCTTGTTAATCTTGCTGCCTTATCTGATCTAAATCTGTAGTCTTGAGGGCAGAAATTTCCATTATACCTTGCACAATGGCTTGTACCCTGGGCAAGCCATATATCTATCTTGGATTTAATTAAGCAAGAAATTTGGCTGGGCATGGTGGCTCACTCCTATAATCCCAGTGCTTTGGGTGGGATCTTGGAGACCGGTCTGGGCAATGAAATCCAGAGCCTACAAAAAGTAATCTTGAAAATTAGCTTGGTGGCATATGCCTATAGTCCCAGCTACTCGGGAGGCAGAGGTGGGAGGATCCCTCAAGCCCACGAGTTCGATTGCAGTGAACTATTATCACGCCACTACACTCCAGCCTGGGTGACAGAGCAAGACCCTATCTCTTAAGCAAACAACGTAATCCAGAAGCTAAGTCCTTTTGGTCTGCAAAGGATCAGGGTGCTTATTTTTTTCTTTAAAGAACCAAATGTAAGTCTGTTTTGTGAGAGCTGCCTTTGCATTGGAACATAGGGGCTTGGGCATACTTGGGGAGCTCACCGTTTAAGGTACCTGGGTCATTAGGCTGTACTCCAGACCTGCTGAGTCAGAATCCCTGGGAGAGGGGCCTAGACCTGTGAACTTTGAAAAAGTTCCTCTCAGGTAGGGTGTGGTAGCTCAAGCCTGTAATCCCAGCACTTTGGGATGCCGAAGCGGGCAGATCACCTGAGGTCAAGAGTTCGAGATCAGCCTGACCAATATGGAGAAACTCTACCTAATTAGCCAGGTGTGGTGGTGCATGCGTGTAATCCCAGCTACTTGGGAGGCTGAGGCAGGAGAATGGCTTGAACCTGGGAGCCAGAGGTTGTGGTAAGCCAAGATCGTTCCATTGCACTCCAGTCTGGGCAATAAGAGTAAAACTCTGTCTCAAAAAAAAAAAGTTCCTCCCCAGGTGACACTGATGAACACCCCTGGTCAAGAATCACTGTTTAAGGGGAAGGTGACCCATGGGGCCTTAACTAGACTAAAATGTGAATAGTTCACCTGCTAAAGGAGTTCATGTGTGTTTCTTTTGTAGCATTAACAACAGTAGTGTCTTCAGTGTTCGCTTCTTCAGAACTACAGCTGTGTGCAGTAAGTTACCTGCCTTCTTGGGAATGGAATTTTGTGGGAAGAGTAACGACTGAGTTTAAAGAAAAATATTAAAAAGGAAAAATAATGAACTACTCATGATTTTCTTTTTTGCATTTTTCCTAGAGGATGATTTGGTTACAGTCAAAACCCCAGCATTTGCAGAATCTGTTACAGAGGGGGATGTCAGGTGGGAGAAAGGTAAGATTCAGTTTCCTCTCACTCTGTTCCCAACCTGGATTGCAGTGGCATGATCTCAGCTCACTGCAGCCTCCACCTTCCAGGTTAAAGTGATTCTCCTGCCTCAGCCTCCCAAGTAGCCAGGATTACAGATGTGTACCACCATGCCTGGCTAATTTTTTTTTTTTAAATTAGTAGAGGCAGGGTTTTACCATGTTGGCCAGGATGGTCTTGAGCTCCTAACTTCAGGTGATCCACCTGCCTCAGCCTCCCAAAGTGTTAGGATTGCAGGCGTGAGCCACTGCGTCGGGCTCCTCTCATTTCTTAAGTGCTGTCAAATTTTCCTCTTCCCCCAGGATAGTTATAGAATTTATAGCTCTGCCCTTTTCTTTACATATGTACTTTCCCCTGGCCCTGTAGGAAAGGGTTCTTGTAACATACCTGCCAAAATGGGTTTGTGGCTACTGGAGGCTCCCTGTTAACAGGTAGCCTTTGATTGTCTTTTCAGCTGTTGGAGACACAGTTGCGGAAGATGAAGTGGTTTGTGAGATTGAAACTGACAAGGTAGGCTTATCTTACATATGTACCAGTTTTTCATGGTCTTCACTTAGTTTGGTAACCTAATGAAAGAAACGGGGACTTAACTGTTGTTTAGAGATAATTTTTTTTTTTTTTTTTGGGACGGAGTTTCGCTCTTGTTACCCAGGCTGGAGTGCAATGGCGCGATCTCGGCTCACCGCAGCCTCCGCCTCCTGGGTTCAGGCAATTCTC